TACACCTGGGTGGAGAGAGGCACTGTGAGAGTAAAGCGTCTTGCCCAAGAACACAACACAATGTCCCCAGTCAGGGCTCGAACCCGGACCGCTTGATCCGGAGACGAGCGCACTAACCATGAGGCCACCGCGCCTCCCATCACTGTGCAAGTTACACTGGGACTTTCAAAACAAAGGAAAGTCAGGCTGGACTGGTATGAGTTGCTTTGTTTTGGAAGTGTTACATAACTGTGTAACTTGCGTCCCAGCATAATTAATTCTGTACCATGTGACTGGATCCTGCAAAGGGCCTATTAGCTTTTCCATCTTCCTTCTCTATTTTTAGTCTTCGCAAATTAGTGATATGTAATAGAGAATATGTGTCGAAGTAACAATGAAAACAGTGATAAAACTGAGTGGATATTTATGTTGTTGTTGTTTTTTTTTTTACAGTTTCTTGTCTTGTTTCAAAACAAGCATCGTGCAAGAGAGGATACATGAAAGACTGGAAGGAAAGAGAAAATTGACTTAGAGGGAAAAGGGCAAGAAGAAGAAAAGAAATGAAATACATATGAAAGTAACAGAAAATAAATCAATGAATATTTTTAATCTGTGATGATTCCAATTTAATTGTGGTGTTGATGTTTGTAAAACTTAAATACATTGTGGCTAAAAATGGCTAATTTATTATATTTAGTTGTCTTTTTGTTATTCTAGTTGCCTTTTTTATTCTGGGATGTCAGATGACAATCTTCAGAATTGCATATGAATTGCAATAGTAGGTCTTCTCTGTATACTGGGTGGATGTCCCTTCTAATAACCTAGAATTACACAAACTCATTTCTGTGATATTCACAAGTACATAGTGTTAACATTTATTCAATCAGCCTGTTGCCAGCAACACCTATTTTACAATTCATTTTACCTAATAATAAGTGGATACCTAACATTATAGAATTCATCCTATACACATTATTGACTTAAAAGACTAAATTAATCGAAAATCAGGTTAATATTATTTCCAGGAAAAATGCAAATTATTGATGCTTTGATACAAAAATTCATTTTTTCCCCCCACAATGAATTAAAAGTGAAATCCCCTTCACAAAGGAAAAAAGAAGTTCAACTTGAATTATTGACCTTTACCCTAGGTTTGCTAACAAATAACCCTGTTTGAAACCAAGCGATCATATTACTAACACTATATGTTTCACTACCAGCTATGAACTTGTTCATTCATTGAAGGATCAGGAGGAAAAGGGGAATTAATAAGTAGCATTTCAATCCTTCAATTGCAAACTTGCAAATTTGTATGAAATAAATATAAAAGATACCCTTAATCTCCATAATTATAATAAATACATAAGAATTTCACACCCTTGTGCACAACTCCACAGAAAAATGAAATTATTTACCTGGCTCCAAAAAATTTCTACAGTCCTCACAAATGAGTTATTTCCCCCAGTGTCCCATACCTATAGGATAATTGCTTTGTATGCAAAATAAACTTCATTTCTGGGTTGACATGTACAGCTATTGTAAAAAAAAATATTCCCTCACTGTGAAACCAAATTGTTCACATCAATGTTGAATCTGTGTTCCAAATTATTTTGTTCTTTATTACTAAGTAGTATTGAGCATTGATACGACAAGTGAAATGGGGGGTTTTAAAATTCAGCCATGAATTAAAGTATTCCTCAACTGATGTTAAAATTAAACCAATAATTTTATACAAATTGATGTACATTCAATCATATTACTATTTGCACTCCCCAAATACCTGTAAGAGTATGTGGCACACATTCAGACACGTTCATTTTTGAAGAACTAAGACAGTCTTCTCACAAAATTGTAATAATCATTCAATATGCAGCAAACTTCGCATGAACAAAGACTTGTCGCACTGCCTCTCAAAACTGCTCCGCATTAGCAATACTTGAAGGCTTTCAAACCACTGTTACCATGTGAATGAATGGTACAGTAGTGCTCTGTTCACGGAAAGAAAAACAGTTGCTGAAAGCACCTGGTGTAACAGCATAATAATGTCAGCACCACTCTATGTAGAACCAACTTGTACCAAAGTTGGGTCATATTTGAGCTCTCCTTCTTGGAACCTCCTTCTCAGCTCTCCCCACAGAAGACCCCTCTCTTTGAGTACTCCCTTAAGAAGACCCTTGTTTTCCATGGCTCGTCTTGAGAGATAGGGTAGTACCTCGTCCACTGGTCCAAATGGAACATACTTGTACACAGCATATCCCTTATTACCTGGGAGGAAAGTAAACAAAACATTTATAATGACCTATGATCTGGTTACTATCTTGGTAATGGTGTGTGTGTGTGGCAGNGGGGGCTACTAGTATGTACAGGTGAATCCTAAGGACAAGGGGGAATTTCAAGCACCTTTGGGAATCCCACTTCCCAAACCTCTGTTTAAAAATTCTTGCCACATTAAAGTTGTAGGTTCTCATCCGTGGACCCATCCCCTCCACCAAGGACAGAAGGAGTGAGAGATGGCTGTGGTAGTGCTTAAAACAAAGTGCCTAAGAGTATTGCTTAACTGCCTTGAATTCTAGTCCAGTGTCGCAGGCTACCAACAAGATATTACCCTGTGAGATCTCATTTATACACCTTGGTGGAGAGAGGTATTTCCCTCTCCCAAGAACACAACCCTGTCAATGGCTAAACTCGGGCCTTCTGATCTTACACAAACACACAAGTTCAGACTTGACGTGTTGTTAGTTTAATTTACAATGTACTATCAATCACGTACCAAGTGTAAATGAGATTGCATCAGACATTCCCAAAAGCTGTCCAAAGAAAACTTTCCTTTCCTGCGGTGAAATTCCCAATTCGTGCATCCTAAAGAGCAAATTGGAATTAAGTAGTACACAATTTACAGACCATATAATACTCGAATCAATAAGTTCTTTGCAATTGATTTTGTGATAAAAATTATCGCTATAAGCGAATGACATTTCGACCATTCAATGGTCAATAAAGTCAAGTTGAAAATGACCGTGAAAACGTTAATTTTAGCGTTAATTTTAATAATTTGCATATATACAAACAATTCAGCTGTTTCAATAATCTGTTTCATATTAATAGTGATTATAGATTTACATGACTGGGCTTTTGTCGTTTATGGAAACATGGTGAAAGAGAAGCACTAGTATTGTGCCAAAATGTGTTCATTCTGAGGTTTTCTGACAAACAACTTCTGACAAAAGCACCACTGATCACAGAACTGTTTGTTGATGGTGAGTCAGTACAGTTGTCCATTAAGTTAGAGAGCTACCCATCCAAGACAGAGTTAAGTAATGACCAAAGAAATGTCGGAGTGTCAGCTAAAGATGGAGCTGCAAGACCTGTGTGTACTTTCCTGAAACGAATGGAAAGCTGAGCCCCTTTTGGTGATTAGCAACATGTTAAGTTTAAAACCCTCTACACAAAAACTGTACAGTGTTTTGTCTTAACTCAACATACCTCTTGATGGCAACCTGGATGGAGTTCTCATTGTGAGTTGCGACAAGAACATTAGCATTTCCTCTCTTTGTTTCCTCCAACACAGCATTTAAAACTTCATCAAAACATTTACTTGTTGCCTTGTAGCTTGGGTGGATTGGATCAGTGTAGCCCAAAGTGCTTGCCCTCAGTCGTTCTTGTTCCATGTAGGCACCTCTGACTAGCTTGGCACCAAACATGTAACCTTCCCGTCTTGCCAGTTCCATGTCTGTCTGGATTTTGGAGTAGGTGTCCTAGAGACATAATGTGTGAAACTGGTAAACTAGATTACATACACCAATCAGGTATTTGTAGGTAGTCAGGTCCTTTAAAACCCAAGAGATTGACTGTAATAATGTATTGACCTTTGCATGCAATGCATTGCAGGCCTATTAGTGGCGAGAGTCTTTCAGGAAAGTCATGTAGCCTTGCACAACCTGTGAAGGTACTTGCAGGCACAGAGCTTTGTGAACGCAATGCTTGCCTATAGTTCTAGATAATATACCATAAAATTAGATGTACTTAATTTATAG